CCACCTGGGCCACTCCAAGGTGTCTCTTTTCCCCCCAAAGACCCCCTACTCTTCCTTTGCTTTGGGACTGCCTTTTTCTCACTGGTAGAGCCACTCCTAGGAACTCCCTCCCCATCACCTGGCCATCCTCTGCCACCATGGGGAGGAGTGGGACAAGCCTGGGCCAGTACAGCCTCAGTCTGAGGTTTGTAATTTCCAAGTCAGACTTTTTATGAGAGGCCCAAACACGCCTGGAGTCTGGGGATGGAGCACTTTCTCACGGAATCCTCCACTTCCCACCCAGGGGCGCTAACACATGCTGTGTGCTGAACACACCTTCCTTCCAGTATCTTCTCTTCCCACATTTGTACCTGCCTGGGTTCAGAGCAACTCTAGCAGCAAATGGGGCTCCATGTGTCATTTCTTCAGTCCTTCTTTCCCTGGACCCTTTCCCTCAACACTGCTACCATGTCCTGCCACCCTCTCAGCATCTGGGCTCCCTCTCCTGACCTGGTGTAAGAGAAATGACCAGATGGCCCCACGGCTAACAGGCACTGCCGCCTCCCCTAAAAGGTGCCCAAGGTGGCTGCTGGTCACAGGGTGTGGGTCCGTGCTCCCAAGCTGCCCTGGATACTCCCTGCCCCTCATCTTGAAGCTGAGGGCTGCCCTCTCAACAGGGGGTCTGGGTGTCACCCCATGGGAAAGAAGCAGGGCTGCAAGCTGCTTCCACACTCTTCGTGTATGGAAGGGCTCCCTGTCCTAACCTTGGCCCCCTCTCTGGACTTAGTTCTTCATCTATGCAATGGGAGCAGTGACCCTGGCCCTTGTCCAGCTCCAGGGGCTGGAGATGGAAATACCGGACATGGCCGAGTGAGTGAGGAAGACAGTTATCATGGGGCAGGGGTGGGGGACGGACTGAGAGGGACGGGGCAGGAGGACAGCTAACTGTTGAAGTGGAGGGTTTTCTACAGACGGGAGGGTAGTGGCTGTGCTGGTAGGAGGTGAGCTGGAGATTGGCTGAGTAAAGATCCCACTGCCCACATTTGGGTTTCAAATAGCATTTTGGTGCCCGGAGTGGGCTGCACTACCCAGTGTAGATGTTGGGCAGCACCTCTCTACTCTTTCTAATGTGACCTGCTGTCGTCCTGAGGGATGAACAAACAGCCTCCATGACTTCACCCCAGGGACCGTGTGCATGGGGCAAACAGGCAGGGCTGGGCTGACCGGCCCGTAGTCACTAATCATCCAGTGTTTGCTGGGCATCCATCAGGGGCCAGGCACAAAGACACCAAGGCAGACAATACAACTCTGACCTTGAGTCCCTTCAGGCCAAGCCTGGGAGAGAGACATGCAAATAGATCAAACGTAACCCAAACCAGTGTAATCCAAGGACTGCAAGTTTGTAACCCACCGCTGAGAGCACAGGGCGCAGAAGAGCCAGCTCTGCCCAGGTGTCGGGGTGATGCATGTAAGCTGAATCTTGGAGGATGAGGAAAGTACGAAGGGAACAGCATCCCTGGTAGAGGGAAGGGCATGAACAAGGGCACAGAGCTGAGAAGACCTGGTGTGTAGGGTGAGGAGATCACTGAGGTAAGGGAAGAGGAGGCCTACCGACAGAGTCAGGAGACAGGCAGGAAAGGCAGGCTGGACCCAGCCAGCTCGGGAGCCTGGGCTGGGCCTGCAGACAATCCAAAATGGCAGGAAGGGGAGTGTGCCTGAAGTTTTTAAGAAGTCAAGGATGATCAGTTTTGCATTTTGGTCAGTTACTCTGGTAATAGTGTGGACAGACTGGTGAAGGGATGTGGGAGACAACTTGTGTAGGAAACAATCTGTATTTCAAGCAAGGGCCTGAATAAAGGGAAGCAGCAGAGAGCACAAAGGTGCAGACAGAGAGGCAGAGCCCAGGTTAAAAAGAGAGGTGACTCTGTGGAAGATGGGTGGACGGTGATGCATTGAAGATACAGGAGGTGGAGCAAGTTGGAGGGGCTTGGAGGACCTGCAGGTAAACATGTACAGGAGCACACTTAGGGCTGAAGATAGGATTTCAGAATCTTCCTCTTACTGATGGGAGTTGAGCTTATGAGAATGGATGGGGTTATGCTGTCGGGGAGGGAGAGAGTGAGGAGGACCAAGGACCATCCTTTTAAAAAATCCCACAAGTAAGAGACACACAAAGAAATACGTAATGAAATGTGCAGAAGAAACCTTTAAGTAGGAAGAAAACCAGGAATGCAGCAATAAAAAAAAAGCATCAAAGAAGTATTATAAACAAACAAACAAACAAACAAACAAACATAACAGAGCCATCTTTTATGAGCGTAAAAGCCAAACATAAAATACCCAGACAGGCTGCAAAGTGCCTCATGCAAGATTAAAGCATTTTCAGAATTCCTAATTGCATGCTGAAGAAAGCTGAGGTGAGAACCAAAGTGTGTGTCTGACACTGTCTGGTCAGGCAGCTTGGACTGACACCCTAGATTAACACCGCATGGTCTGGTGCTATCAAAAACCGCTTCTCAAGAAGTGATAGGTGGTTGTTCATATACAACTTAATAATATGCAAAATGTTCTATACTGGTTATGGATTCGTACATATGCATTAATTGTATAAAATCATGCATTGGGACAAGAAACACCAAATGAGGGAAAGTGCAGATTTCTGAAATGGAGGCACATGGAAAGGGGTGCAGATTTCTGAAATGGAGGCACATGGAAAGGGTGTTCCCAGGTGATTTCTACTATGTCTTAAGTTTATCTTTGTAAAAAAAAATCTGAAAAAATGAATATTAGTAATATCTGAATGTTACGTAGCATTGCTCTGGATAGAGAATAAAGGAGTCAATGTAATGAAAAGTACAAAGAAATGCACCATGAGGACAACAGCGTCAAGTGCTCAAGAAAGCTCAGAGGATGACCAAAAGTCATGCTGAATTTGGCAATCGGGAGGTCCCTGGTGACTGTATCAACAGCAGACTCAGTGAGTGGCTGGGATGAGGCAGAATGGAAGCCATAAAGTACTATAATGGGTTAAGGAATTAATAAGATTTGAAGGCACAACTCTTCCCTCTTTCAAGAAATCTCCCAAGAGAGGGAGATGAGACCATAGCTTCCATGAAGCTAAGAAGAGGACAGATGTTTTTGTGCTTTGATTGTCCTGTTGTTTTGCTGACTGGGTGGACAATTTAAACACAGTGGTATGAGGAAAAGGGGAAGAGGGTGAAGATGCAGGAAGAGAAGAGAAGGAAAACGGAGCAGTAACACTCTGCTAAGCACTTTACATGTACCAATTAATTTAGTCCTGCAAGGGAGGTACTATTATCCCATCTTATAGATGAAAAAAACTGAGGCACAGAGAGGTTGAGTGACTGGCCCAAGGTCATCCAGCTAGTAAGCAGCAGTCTGGTCTGGGTGAGGACACTCTACTGCAAGGCCTTAAGGAAGGTGGGGGGTGGGGAATGGATCCAGGGTGCCAGGAGGGTCCTCTAGCAGCCAAGGGGCACCGCCGTGGGCTGGTGGAAGGGCACTGTTACATACAGTAGGTCTTGGAGTTGGGGGAAAGACAGGTGAAGGGATCCTTAGAAGGCTCAGCTCTGAGGGGTGAGGGCTTCAGGAGGGACAAAGGATTGGAAGAGCCAGTCCTGGGAATAAACAAGCTCTGGAAGAACACATAAATGGCCCCCTGGCAAGCAGCCCAGAGAGGCCTGGTGAGTCGGGCACTCAGAGCTCTTGAGAGGCCAACAGTCCCTGCAGGTTGAATGGCTTCCTCCAGCGACCCCCTGCAGTTCAGAAGCAAGATCAGAACAACTGGAAGATAAAACTTATCCAGAAGAAACCTCTCAGGAAGTTTGATCATAAAAACCCAGTCCTGGTGATGGAAAGGATGGTACACCCTGAGAGATAGGGCACACGACACTTTACAGTGAGCTTCCAGAGAGACGGAGGTACTTGAGCCAGGATTAAAGGTATTAATAAAAAGATACTAAGAACCATCATGTCAGATTTCACTGGGGGTGGAGGAGTCTGCTGTGTTCCACCTCGAGGGCCCCTCTGCTTCCCCCAAACCTTCCCTGACCCCTAGTCCAGCCTGGCTGAGCCCCTTCTCCTGGAACGCCTACAAGTATCAGCACGGCTTTGCCTTAACTACAACCTTTCCTGTCATCCAGTAACCCACGCACATATGTCTTGCTTTTCTCATGAAACCTGAAAGAAACTCAGTGTCTCTCTCTCTTTTTAAAAAACAATCTCTCATAAATCCCAGCAAACTAGGGTCATAAACATGGGCTGAAGGGGTCCCAAGTGAGCCTACAAGGGCCCCAGCACAGAAACTGAGACAGAGTTTACACTGAGTCAAACAAACTTGAATCAATAAAATACACAGCAGAGAACAATTTCTCCCCAGCGGGTTGCAGCACTCAGGGCCTGGGAAACAGTGGAGGATGCCAGGCACTAGAATCAGGCTCCCTACACATTTCAAATCACCTCAGACATGATCACTTCTGACTTTCAGAGCTGTGGAGGGTGGGATGCAGAAAAGGGTGCTGGGCTTCATGCTGCACCCACGTCACTCGCACAGGAGCCTTTCTGTCAAACCCACGGGTGGGGGCACTACCGCATGCTCCCTCAGTTCACCATCCTAGTAGCCAGGAACACGTCCCCACTCCCCTGGCTCTGGGGACAGCAGGCAAGAGTGGTTGATGGCGAAAGTCTGCCTGTTGCTCCTCATACCTCCAGACCTCGGGGATACAGGGTCAAAAGCCACCTACTGGGGTGACCTGCCCTCATGAAACCTCCATGTCCTCAGGATGTGGCTTATGACACAGCAGAAGAAAGTGCAGGCCTTGTGTCTGGAGAAAGGCCTCTGAGCATCTCCGTGTGGCCGGGGTAACATTAGACTAAACAGCCTGACCTCAGAGCTACATGGGGCAGGGGAAGGAGCACCTGACACTGGGGGCTGGGAGCATACCTGCACTGAGCCCTGCATCGGAGCCACTGTCCCAGTAAAGGACAGCATAAAACCAGGCAGGAGTTCCAGAAATTTATTGGAAACACAATACAAATTGATTAGTAGATGGTGACTACTTACAGACAGATGGTCCACGCCGTAATACCACGCTTTGAATGAATTATCCTGGGGAAACACTCATGACCACTGATGCATGGTCTGGGTTGGTGTTCTCTGGCAGGGAAAGCCAGGGGTTGGGGGAAGAGGAATGGGGAGGGGTGGGCAGAAAACTGGGACACAGCTTTCCTGAGGGGAATGGTGAGGTGGGGCTGCTAAAGGGCTAAATTCCCCCAAAGGGAAACTTGGACAACTGTTAAGAATAAAGCTCCCCCACCCCAACCCGGCCAAAAGCACTTTCCTCTCTAGGCAGAGTGAAGGAGAATCCATAAAAACTCAAGGGGGCAGCTCCTCCTCTTATCCTTACTGGGGTCATAGGACACCACGGGCATAAACACCAGACTTGGACATGACATAGACTGGACCGAGGCCATGCACATCTTGGGCCTGCTTACCCTCTGATCAGCCCCATGCCCTCCCCTGCTCTGCTCTGAGCGGTTGGGGTGGGGTGGAGGGGCTGACTGCTGCAGGTTGCCTGTCCCAGGCTCCCAGGCCTGCAGGCTTCCAGCTCAGTTTAGCTAACGAGGCACCTGCAGAAATCTGGAGGGCATGAGGAAGGGAGAAGCCAGGCTATTTCTCCTCACTCTGCCCAGGGGAATATTTCTGGCAGGGGACCATGCCTCCTCGTAGCTCCAGCTCCCACCAGATAGGTCCTCTGTGGTCCCAGGCCCTGCCCAGTGGCCCTGGTCCCCCAGGATCTGGTAACATGTCCTGTCCCATGTCCCAACAGCTGTTGCTCCCCATCTCCAGGCTGCCCTTCATGCCCCCGTTTGGCATCTCAACTCTTCTTGTTTCTGTGTTAAACAATTCCCTGGATTAAAAACTCCTGTGTTTTAAATATATAGACTGGTTCTGTTTTCCTGATTGGACGCTGACTGACAGAAGCTGGACTGTGGACAAGGTAGAATTGTGAGAGGCGTGCTGAAAAAGCCAGTGTGTCCTCCTCCCTTGCACCACCTCTAGGAAATCAGGGATGTGTGGGTGATGATGGAGAAGGAGAGGGAAGATGACTTGCAGGCATCTGTGTCCTCATCCAAGAGAGCACAGACCAGGCTCAGCACAGCACCACTGGGCATGTGTGCTTCGGGCCATGCAGACAGGCTCTGCGTGTCACCTAGCAAGCTCACTGCTCACAGCGGTGACACTCCACTGACACCCACGATGGTGATCCCGTAGCCCCCAGAAAGGAGGTGGCTGGGAAATCCTCTTAGCGCCAACTGCTCAGAAAACAAAGGCAAGTATCAGAGGCTCCTTGGCGCCCTTCCTCCATTCCCTGGAGGTTCAGGCTGGGGCACTTCCCAGAGATGAAGTGAGAGCGTAAAATCTTAATCAACATCCTCTCCGTAGGGGGACGGGGCTGCAGACACAGGAGCTTTGACTACAAGGTGAAGGAGAGCTGCCTTGGTACATGTGGCTCAAAATGAGCCCACTTGTCCCACAGCCAAATTTGAACTGTATCTAGGCTGGGCCTCCCTGTTCTCCCCTCAGCCCCGGCCTGGCCCTGGTCTCCAAATCTCCTGGCCTGGGTCAGGAGGGCGTCCCCTAAAATGTAGGCAGCAGAGTCACGGGTGGCTAATTGTTTCTATGACCACCAGTCACCTTTGCACGTGGGTCAGGAGAGGAAAGCGAAAGGGTGAGGGAACATTCCACCTACGTCTGTGTGCACAACAGATCCAGGGCAGGGCCCAGGGAGACAGCTTGGCTGCGTGGCATGTGGCGTATCACGTGAGAGCCAGCTGCCCCATCTCCCTGGGTTTTTTCTACAGGGGCCCCTGAGGGCAGTGCCTGCCACGCGGCCCGGCTCACTGAGCACCTCTGACACAGGCCCACCATGGGGCCCTAAGCCAAGACCCAGAACAGCTCCAAGAGTTGGCAGTGGTGAGAACATCCCTGGGATCACCCTGCAAAAGCCTAAGACGAGAACCAACCCCTCTTGAGAGGAGAAGCCACGATGACTGCAACACTGGAAAAGAAAAAGGCAGTTCAAGCCACGAGCGTCACCTTCAGCCATCACACATCACATCCTCTCTGCTAAGCTGAACCCCGCCTCCGAGGACCTAGACATCTTGAGTGTCATTGCCATTTTAGGAGTACCTCCCTCTGTCTGGGGTGGAGGGGCAGTCAACTCAGTTGGAGCCACTCTGTCTTGCAACCACCTAGCCATCTGGGGCATCTAGTATAGCCACCCAGCTGCCTCCCAGCTGCAGACCCCAGGGACAGCTGGGAGGCCAGACTTCAATTACCTTTCATGCTGCTGTGAACCTGTGCCCCGCAGCCTGTCCCTGCAAACAGAGGCAGAGGAGTGGCCAGACTCACATCTGCTCGGGGAGCCAGTGGGGCACTAAGTCATTCCTATCCCTGCTGTGTGCACGGAGTGCAGAGCAGCCAGCCTGTGATGCCTGCACAAGGGCCGGAGCTGAGGGCAGACAGGAAGCACCCGGGCTGGCAGAAACCGGGTGCAGGCAGGTCTCCCGGGGCCCAGGCACATGTGCTCACAGAAACATTTGGGCTGGAAGGGTGGGAGGGGGCTCATGGTGTCATACACACAGACTCACCTGCAGACACAGTTCTCCCACTTCACCCTTCTAAGCCAAACAGACTCCATCTGCTTAACATCAACCTGGTGGATGAGACTCGGAGAAGGACCAGTCTGGCTGCAGCTCCTCATCAGCTGGCTTGGCTGCGAAGGAACAGGGCGGTACCCAGTGGCTGGTCGCAGTGATATACACACTCGATCCAGCTTCACACCTGCTCTTGCTGGAGCTGTCTGGGACCAAGCAGAACCCCAGTCTCTCTCCAACGACACAATACAGATGATACGAAGAGTTCACAAGCTTACCAAAGACAATTTTCTTATCTTTTGTCAGAACCATAGGTCATTCTGTACCTTGGTGGGGTGGAGGTAGGGGGTCAAATACAGGATGCAGAGGGAGAAGGACAAAATTTCCCCATTAAAAAAAATAAGTGTGAAGTCTATTGAGGAAAAGCCAAGTGACAGTAACAGCAAGGACAAGGGAGTATCATTAACTGCATAAACACTGGCACATGTCTTAAGAAAAATCCATTCAGAAGGATGCCATGTCCCTTCTGTACACACTCACACAGCTGACATGTGACAGAGCTGAGCACACAGCAGCCCCACTGCCCCAGGAGCTATGGTGCCTGGGTGCAGAGCTCAGGAGGAGAGGGGACACGCAGTGGCTCCCCTACCCCCTCGACTCCCCAGGCAGGTCCCGCTCTGGGGCATCGAGGTCTCCGAGAGGAAAGCGAGGGGACACTGATTCACACATGGAGACGCAGCTTTGGGGACGTGCACTCCCACCATTTCTTTCCTTGCCCCATCAAGTCTCCGTGGGGTGCACGCAGAGGTCTCCCACTGAAATGGACTGGGGATGGGGTTGCCTCCTTCCCAGGCATGGCTGTGAACATCAGCAGGACAGTGTAGCAAGTCTTGGATTATAGGATTAAATAGGGACAGCTCAGTCTGACACGCAGCATGTGAGTTCTGGAAAAGGAAAGAAACAGCGTTGAAGTTAAACAAGTTCCGATGGTGAAGGCAAGGTGAGAGGAAGGATGCAATCTACTAGCCCACCACCACCATCACAACCTTGAAGGAAAGGAGGTTGGGCACTAATTCAAATAAAAGCTTGCAACGTAGTTTGAGGCTGGACCAAAGGAAAGTTTAATTGAGGCCAAGAAAATACATGAATGACACTGAAGTCTCTTAAAAGCTGGGATTTGGATGGGCAGGTTTAGCAGTCACTGGCAAGGGACCACAACATACCAGGCAAGTGCTTCCACGCTTATCAGAGCAACATCATGGAACTTTCCTGTCCGGATGCTAAGGAATGCAGAACACAACTGGCCTGGAGAAGGCACACCCCGGTCTGAGGTCACCATAATGAATCATAATGATGTGGGCACTCAGAGGCTAGGCACACATTTTTCTGTAGGAGTGGAGTGACCTCAAATACCCACAGTGTCACAGTGTCACAGTGCCCCTCATGCCCACCCACTCCACCTCCCCCCAAACCTTTACCTCTCCCTGACCCAGAGCTGGGCACCTGCAGATTCTCAGTAGAAACAAGTAAATGAGAAAGGAGAAGTGGTTGGCAAATAACACTGTCACCATCTGCTATTACACAGCAGGTTGTGAAAACTTGTGCTTGGTCATTAGGAAAGTGGCTAGGAGGGAAGTGGGGGGTGTCTGCTGATATGGGACCAGGTGCTCGGGCCAAGGCAGCCCTCAGGTCCTCTCTCCCATCACGCACGCCACTCCACAGCCAAGAGAGGCACAGGGACGCTCACCTTCACAGCCTCCCGCCATCCTGAGGAAGGTCTGCAGGATAGAGCAGAGCTGCGCCTTCACTTCATGAGCCTTTCTAGAATAGGGGAGATACATGCACACAGCCTGGTATTTGACAGGGCAAATATGTGTTAAATTAAAACCCAGATAATTCAGTTTAGGACTAGGCTAACTTTTGCTTTATTGATAGGTTATGGAACTGCCTCATTTAACTTTCATCAGAACCTTGTGAGGGTCAGAAAGGTTAGGGACTTGCTCAAGGTGAGTAGGTGGTGAGCTGAGGAATCAGAATTTGAACCCAGATCTTCTTCCTTCAGGTAAAGGTTTTCCTACTACTCCGAGCCTGCCCCATTCTCCATCCATCCCAGTAACAGCATACTGTCCTCTTCAGTGTCTAAATTAAGGCTTCTGTGTCTGTCAGTATTTCTAGTATCTCTCAGATGCCTTTTTGTGTGTGGGGGAGGGGCTGCTCTGTCATTCATTTGTCCAACCCCATATGGAATTACGCCATCTGCCAAAGAGTCACTTGTAATAGTTTCCCAAGTTTCTGACCTGCCACAGTAAACTGCGCTTTCTTCTATTTGTGCTAAACTTACCTGCTCTGGGTTCAAAAGCAACCCTCTCCTCCCAGCAGCTCAGGATCTGGCGTCCAGGTTCACACCTGCCTTCTCCACACTGGCCATGGTGTTAAGTGGAGCTATGTCAGCTCTCTGCATTCCGGGCTGAAGAATCCCAGTGCTTACTTCCTGCCCTGGCACCACCTCCACTCTCCACTGCTCGTCCTCAGCTCTGCTGCATCTTTTTGCAGCAAGGAACCCAAAGCCACACTGAAGGGCCCCCAGCATGGCAGAGGGCCCCAGGAAAAGACCTGTGCCCATTCTTAGGTCTCCTTCCTAAATAACATAGCCCAAATCATTTCCCTTTATGCTTATAAATAAATTCTCAAATGTATCCATCTACATTTGCTGCTTTTGTCTATACTAATCCTGATCCATAAGCATTTATAGATATATATGTATATATATTTTCTTTTTAAACAAAATTTTCCCTTTTGGTTTGACTACTCAGAAGTATTTCAAAGTCCATGGACTTGGAGATTCTGGACGCAGTGAAAACCAAAATTTTTAAGTTTCTCGCTACTGGTTTCTGAGTGATTCCCCTCCCTCCTAAAACCCAGGGAAAAACCACCATCAGGATTTTGGAGCCTGGAAAGCAGTTAAACAAGTAATAACAGACTATATACTCAAGAAAGCCAAATCTATTAAAAAAAAAAACTATACTTCAATTTAAAAAAATACAGGGAGTAACAAAATAAAAAGCATCATTTCAAAGTGATACAAATGGTCAAAAAGACATAAAAATTCTAACTACATATAAGCCCAACAACAGAATTTCAAAATTACATGAAGTTAAACTTCACGGACTAAAGGGAGAAATCATACAAATGTGGTTGGAATACAAAGTTGAGAATGTCTCCCAAACAGCAGAGTAAAAAGACACAGAGAAAGAAAACAGGAGAAACAAGAAAATTAAAAGAGCAATGCAGGAGGTCCAATAGCCAATATCTCGGTCCTTTCTTCTGCTGACTGGCCCCAGGTGCCTTGAATATAATTAGCCCTATTTCCCCAGGACTCACTGTCCCAGAGGGGTCGTGCATGAAGCTGCAATCAGACCAGCGTGGAAAGTCTTCGCGCATAGTTTCCTTCAGAAGCTCCACCTAACAAAGTTGCCTTCAAGCTTGCTCCTCAATTTTACATTAATTACTTTTCATATTCATGGATATGTAAACAGTCACTGATAAAAATAAGTATTTGGTTGAGGGAGGAAAATACATAGATTATAACTCAGATGTTTTCTGAGCTTAAAGAGTGCTCAGTCATCTGGAAGGGAAAACAGGAAACATTGAATTAAAATAACGAGCTACGCTGGGAAGCTTAAAAATTAACCCAGTGGGAGTCTCCAGATCAACGAGGCTGTGACAAATCCTTCCATTTCCATTGCCCTGGGGCTCTGCAGATTCAGAAGCCTTCTCCTCACTTCCTCACTGGGACCCAGCGAGACTGCACAGGAGGATGACTGGCTCTGCTGGTTTCTGGACCTGGTCTTTACTTCCCTGGGGCATCGAGATCTAGTACTGATGTCCCAGTGGCTTCCTCAGATATAGGCCTGCACTTTGGATGAGTGAGTCAAACCTTGGCTAAGAAAGAGCTGTTTCTCAGGGATACAGTTCCCTCCCTTTGCTGTCCTTCTCCCTATCCTTCCTCAAGCATCTACCCTCCCCCTAAAAACCCTGGGACCCAGCTCTCAAGTCAGAGGCTCACCTTCTCCGACATGCAGCCTCTACGTGTCACCGAGAGTAGGCGTGCGTAGGAAGCGGCTGGTTGGAAGGGCTTCCTGTAATGGCCCTTGCAGGTAAACAGACACTTAACTGAGGAGGCCAGGGCTGGCTCTCACAGTTGAGGAGACTTGAGTAACCACCCTGGACTTTAGTCACTCTTCTAATACCTCCATACTGCTGAGAGGGTCTCAGATCTAGACCTCTTACAAGTTCACACACTCGCATTTTCCTCGGGGACAAGGACAAAAGTATTCTCTGGGAGAAACTGTGATACTTATTAATAAAACCCACTGTGGTCCCAGGGGTGGTCAATGTGGCATCCTTCCAGAATATGCCAAAACCCCAAGTTATTGACTATTCGTGTCTAATGCACTCGGGTCTGTCTTCCTCTACAAGCCCCACCCTATGGCTTCGCAGTGTGAGAGGACCTCCCCTGCCCTCAGGTAATACTTCAGCAGTCCGCAAACTCTCCAGATACATGAGGCAATTTCCTATAACTGCTTCACATTCAATAAACTCTCGGGCCATAATGATCCATTATAAAAACTGAAAAGAAAAAAAAAAACTAGAAAGCATTTAGATATATTTAAGCGGGTTATCACATTACACCTTGAGACAAGGAGACCGGAGGTGAGTCTAGGGGCACTCAATGTTCTTCCATTAAAAGTGTTTTAGAAGATTCGGAAAAAAAAATCATGGTCTTTTAAAGTGACATAAAAATTTTGACAGAAGGCAGCCTGGGCCTCAGCAGGCCTGGCAGTGCCATCAGCTGCTCCTGGCAATCTATTTTTACTGGGATTTGTGAAGACAACAGATGCATTCCCAGAGCTCTCTCACTGGTACAATGGCCCTCACCACCACCCATTTCTCGGGGTTGGATGCAAACAGTGGGAGCTGTTGAATCATTGATTTCAGAAACAAGTCATCAAAAGGACAGCCTTCACACCTCAGATCATAATATTATACTAAGAGGCATCCACATCAGACATCCTTTTCATGGTATAACGACATTGAGAAATGATATTACTCAGTGCAGAAAACAAATAAGAAAAATAACTTGATCTACAGTGTACTCACGTAACCCCAGGGGAAATAAGCCAGAGGAGAGCAGATTAAAAAGAGGTTTATAGTACAATTTATCAACCTCCTTGGCTCAGATGCCCTAACTCTGTCCTACGGAAAATTCACCTCTCTTCTGAGCCCATTGCTTTGGTTTTCCTGACACACTGAGGCCTGCTTCCATAGCACCCCTGGAACAAAAGCCGCGCACCTCAGAGGAAGGCTAAGAGCACTTCCAGTCGATGCTCCCTTGGTCTGTATCACTACACAGCAGGAGCTGTCCTCAAAGGTCCCCCATTTGATAAAGATGGAGACAGAGTTGGAAGTCCCCTTGTCCCTGTGCAGTGGAATTGGGAGATCTGCTGACTGACTAAACTCAAGCATCTGACACTGAGGGGATCCCAGGGCACCTCCTTACGGAGCCAGGAGAGGATGGGAGATGCTTAAACAGCCCATCTGCTCCTCCCCTCTCTGGAGTCTCTTCTGACTCAGCCTTCACTCTGAAAGAGATTTCACTGTCAGGATCATGAAGTTCCATCCCCTTTGCTGCAGGGCCTCTAATTACAGGAATCTACAGGAAGCTAAATGAGCACTCTTTATAAAACTAATTTTGTTTTTAATACTCGTTGAAATGACTTAAACGAGGGAAATTTCATTTATAGACACTGGGCCCTTCTAATGTGCAACTATACCTTGAAACATACCCATTTACCTTCGAGCATTTGCGTGATTTTTGAGTGATTTTTTTAGAGATCATTTCTTTAGGTAAGAAAGAAATGTAGTTATAGGGAAAGTATTGGCATTTTATTTATATGCAATTCACATATAACTACAAAAACTTTGGCTGATATCTTAACAATTTTCAAAATACAACTTTAGTAATAGCTTTTCTTTAAAAGAAGGGATGGAATTTTAACACTTAATGAACACCTATGTGTCAGAGTCAACGCTGGGACTATCACATAATTTAACTTAAACACATTTCACCTTTAGGTGATTCTGTGATTTTTCTCTTTTTTCTCCCCTCTCTCTGACTAATATAGCTCCTGTGCCCCCAAGTTCCAGAACAAGAAAGTGGTATGATATTGGCAGAGGAGCTTCACAGAGGCAGGAGGTGGAGGCGACAGCTTTGATTAGACAATAATGGCTTATACTTCATGGATGGAGCAAAGAAAATTTACCTCTACATTACTCTCTAAGTGTACAAACACAAGCACATCTCTGACACAAAGAAAACAGAAACATCTCCCATGTACACGCTGCACTCAACACACAAATCTGGGGTCCTTATTAATCTAGATTCGTATTGTAAGTCTCATCTCTGCTACTTGCTAGCAGTGTGACTTTGGGCAAATCCCCTCACCTCTTTGAGCTTCAGCTTTTTTCACTATTAAAATTCAGGTTATAACATCTACCTCATAAGGTGTTTGGAAGATCAAGTGATACAGAGTTGGTGAAAATTTTTAATCATTATAGCAACTCTGTTAAGGCAAATGAAATCTGTACTTTATAGAGGAGGAAAAAAACAAACAAATAAGCAATTCACCCAAAACCACACAGGAAATAATCAGAGAAGTCAGCAAGTAATCCCATCTGACTCCAAACACTCAGATGTTCTTTTTTCCATGGCACAAATCCCATCTCCCCTGCTGCCGCCTCTTTTGGGCTCTCAGATATGGAAAGTAACACCTCTTGTATCCCAACTGATCTCAGGGCCTTCTCTCCTCATAGTCACTTGGAGTAAACCAAGTCAGCCAAATGTGGTAGGTTCTTGGTTTGCTGGCAATAAGAATGTCATCAAAGTATGTGTAAGTCAGAGAAGGAGACAGAATTTGGAAAGCACCACGATGGCATGGGGCACCGCACGGGACCAACAGCCTGACGGGAGAGACTGAAGTGCAGGGGGGCTGACAGACCTGGGTAGGTCTACATTTTGAAACTTCAGTCTTCTATCACTACTGACTCCAAATAATGAGGCTTCTTATTTATGCAGATTTCCTTTTCATCCTTGGAATGTAACTTCCTTTAGGACAGTCGACAGTGGTCTGTCTGTGTGTGGCTGGGTGCCATGGTTTAAGAGGACACAGAGGCCTGACTCCCAGTCACATCAGGGCCTTTACAGGGCCAGGGCCAGGTGAAGGACAGTGACTTTCAGAAGGTAATACGAAGCTGTCCACTGTTTTTTGTTTGTATATGTGTGTATGTTTAAGTGTCAGGTAAAATCCTTTCTACTAGCAGAAATTCAGAAACCCTTTTCTCATCGTCAAGAACCTCCAACTGAAAATGGAGGGTAAGTGAAGGGGGTAGGGCTCTGAGAAAGGGACAGGAGGCCCTAAAGCTGAGAGACCTGGATATTTCAATACAATCAGGTTTTGTTTCCACTTGAATTAGTTCTGCCCATCAACATCCTGTGTGGTGCACTCATCTGTCTGACATGCTCATAATACCATAGCAGTGCTAACTGCTATGTATTATTGGATCACACAGGGCAAAGCCTTCCCATGAATTTGTATCTATCAATTCCAATATTTAATGGTATTAACTCTCCCATGAAAACTTACTATTAGCCTAAAGTTTTCTGTAGTACTTGAGTTCACCTTGGAAACCCAGGTTAGTTAGGATCCTATATCCTGAGGAGATAATAAACAGACCAGTTATCCCAAGGAAAAGGTCCACTGAGAATACAAAAATGGAGACATTTTCTAAAGTGTGTGTTTCTGTTACACTCCTGCCCCTCAGCTCCACATCCATTCAGCTAAACTCAGCTTTGTGATGCTGGGTGGGGCTGGGACTCTCTGCCATCCATCCAGCTCCCTGTTACACCAGTAGGGGGTGCTAGAAGGCACCTGGGAGGCTGGAGGAGTTGGTTTCAGTTCCCAGCTTTACTTCACACCCCCGGAAGCAGCCTCATCACACCTCCTGAGAGATGCCAGCACCGACAGAGCAGCCCTTTCCTCAAGGGTCTGAGACCCAGCTCCCTGGGGCCCCTCCTTGAGCTTCTAGCTGTGATTACCCCGACTTCTTCCTTTTGGTCTTCCAGCTCTAGGGATGGTGGTTGCTTCTGTCCGTCTCCCTCTCCCCCTGCCCCAGGCCCATTTCCCCTGTTTACTTATTCTGTCCTCCAATACCTGTCACATTGACTTCTTATATCAAATGAGCTGTTAAAATAACTTATGTAGTTTCTACTTTGCTGACTAATACAGTGCATTTGAGAGCCACAATCTCATTTATAACAGTGGTTAAAAAAGCAGAGCCTGAAATCAGTCACACCTGAATGGGAGTCCCAACCCATTTATATGGTATCTGGTAACTTGGGAACATTTAATTCACCTCTCTAGGTCTCATTTTTCTCAATCACTTTCACGTATTCAACATTTATTGCACATCTACCCAGTTCCAAGCACTATACTGGGCAGTAGAGATACAGTGTTCTGCAAAACAGTTAAACTCCCTGCCCTGGAACCTTCTGTCCTGTGAATCAGGTAAGATAAGGCAGTAAGGCTCATGTTATCAGCCTTCCTCCTGGTACCACGACAGGAGAGCAAAGACCAATGGGTCTTGAGGAAAAAAGTGTTTCAACAGCTTGGTCTCTTCAGAAAACGAGACTGTCTCAGCCTCACAAGGCTGAACATCTCAGTCAGCCTAACACCGGGGGTTTGTTGTGTGCCCTGTCCATTCCTCCTGTTCACAACAGAGGAGCAATGCCCTGGCAACAGCATTCATTCAGAAGGAAATGGGACAAAGAGCCCTAGAGAGGGAACACTACAGAGTGGCATTTTTTTTAGAAATCCCAAAGAGACAGGTGCCTGTGACACAAAGAAAGAGCAACAGGAGCTGCAATGCAGGGCTCGGGCTGAGGCCCAGAATGACTGTCATCATCGGGCGTGAGCAGAGAAAGGTACTAGAAAGCCGCTATTCCAACATCAGTCATGGAGGGGTCTTTTTACCACAAAGAACATACACATATCTCAAATAAACCAGAATTTACTTTATGCGTTCTGCAGTAGGACTATAAACCTAGAAAGCCCAGGGTGTTATAAGATGGAAAAGGAAGATTCCTGATTCCATTTAAGCCTGAATCCAAAGATCTCACACTGAGGGCAAGGAAAAGCTGGAAAGAAATCTAATCTCGTTTTGACACAATCCTTTCTTGGACTTCTGCTGTCTAGATATCAGGCATATCACTGTGGCAAAGATGACCGATGTTCTCATTAGCAAGGAAGTATTTCTGCAAGACTGTTGTGTAGCTAAATTCTTGAAAGCCGTATCTACAACACATTGATATCTTTAAATGCAAACTAAACTCTTCACCCTCGATTCTTTATTCATTCTGACATTGCCATGACCATCAGAAGTCATACTGAAGGAAAACAACCCTGGGAAATTATTACTAGAACGTCTATTCCACATCCTTACTCTAAGGCCTCATGATAAATAATACACTGTCACTGAGGGAATTTAGAGTTCCGTAAGACATGAAAAGCCTGGAGAGAGCTTTATTCATAAATAAATGCCAACATTTTTTTTTATAAATGCCAAAATTTAAACAATCAAGACAGCTTCGAACTCCAGAACTCTTGAAATGAACAATATATATTTCCTGGATGATTTATTATGCTTGTGTTTACAGTCCAAATGGGAAGATAATTCAGTTCCACCTGGAGAGTCATTATATGGCCAAGCCTAAGAGAAGTACTTTGGATAAGAAGTGGTATTTCTCAGTTTTTCCATTTCAAACAAATTATTATTTCTGTATTTAGGACATCACCCAGGCAGTTCTTTTCATGACTTGTAGTACTCTCGAGCAATTAAGAAAATTTATAAGGTGGAAGAAGTAAGGGACAAATGCCAAATTCAGAATGGTCCACAGAACACTGAAGAGCCCCCAGACAGCACTGCTGTCTCAGACACAAGGTGAAATAATCCCTTCTGCTCAAGAAAACGTAAGTGAGCAGCGAGCGTGCATCACGGCAAGAGCATTATTACCCAGCAGAGACAGCCTGCTAAATACAGGCTTTCATTTCCCAACAAGCCTCCTAACAGGACACGTGAGCAAAAAAGTCCCTTCTGAGATGGAGAAATATCACTTGGCAAGGTGTCTTCACTGTGGCACATGGTAGGCAGCCTCCCCTCTTACCCTCTTTCCACATAGATAGTTCAACCCGGGGGTAGAACCTGTCTGTTACACGTTCCGGGACGTGGCAGATGACACTCTGGAGAGGGCAAAGGCAGAGAGGCCCTGGCCCATGGGATCAGCCCCCAGAACTCCTGGGCTTACATACCATCCAGGCCATTGTGATGACTGTAGTTTCTTTTCCCCAAAATGCTCAGAGACGTGTGATTCGGGGTGGTTAGCATCCGCTTGGTAGTTGGGGTTTGCAGGCTTGGTGTCGACCGAATTACATTAGGTTTCTTCGAAGGATGGATCTCTGATGGGGGGGAGAAAAGGTTTCTCAACTCAGAACATGGTATTAAAAATCTGTGTGCACTTACATTGGCTAATAGGCACACATCTTATTTCTTAATGAGCTGAGAGCCAGTTCCTTATGAGCCAGCCTGTTTTCCCAAGGACTTACATAATGAATCAACTTCAAGTGCTGTTACTTTGGCTTTATTTATCAAAAGGGAGCTGGTTCTGGCCCTGCTAGCTGGAGCTCTGAGCTTCACGTTGTGAGTAGTGGCGGGGCAGGGGGAGCCACTTCAGAAGGGCACTTAAACACGAGATTTACTAAGGGAATAAGTCATCTGACTCTTCACGGAATTAGAAATCCAAAGGTTATCTGGAGAAGTAGCCTAGGAAAAAACTACCTCTGTGCGCTTTCAAACCAGGAACATAGTGTGCTGCACGTCTGGGGTGTCAGAGCTTTGTGAAAAACCAGGATTCCTCCTCTGGCTCTGCGGCCAAAATATACAACCAGGGTCAGTCACTCCCAGCCCAGAACAGTTTGCTCTGGATGAAATCTGACACCAAACTCCAAATACTAGAGTTAAGAGGTAGCAGGAGAAAAGCTTTGGTTGAGGATATATCACAAAACTGCAACGTGCCTGTGGTATGTCTGTGCTTGTGTCGAGTATGTTGCTGTCAGTCACACAGCCCAGAACTACTTGCACTTTTTGGATAGAGCAGCTGGACAGAAATGGCAACGCTCAGGAAACTGGATTTAAGGACCTCAGCCTATTACTAATACTAGGCAACCTCTCTCTAAAGCTAAACCTTTTCACTGATTCTGAGACACCATCCAGCACGCCAACCATGTACAAGCCACCCTGTCTTCTCAGGTGAGGGCCAGGATATCAGCCTCATTTACTGAAATTTACAAAGAGCCATTAGGAGTGTTAGAATTACTCCATCTCCGTCTGGTCAACATCCAAAATTTAGGAATGGATGAGGTACTAACCAAAATACAGTGCTGGATTCGCCCCCGCCCCTGACATGGTATTGAAGGTTTGCCAACCTCGTATTTCATTACAATCACTAATCTCTACACTCCATCAGATCAGATAACCCACCTTATCTTATCCTGTTTTCAGGTCCTTGGACTCAAGGAGTCTTTGTCTATATAGTTCTCTTGGCCTCATTAAGGGGTAAAATACTCTTTTTCTATTTTTCTATCTATTCAAATACTACATATCTTTCAAGGCTCAGATTACTTTCTTCACATAGGCTGCCCTAACGCTCATCAGAAATAACTACCCCCTTCTCCAAATGTCCAATGCTTACTACTTGTGATTCTTCTACAGGATCTAATCCTTTGCTCAACTGTCCTTACCTGTGTGCTTTCTCCACTAGACTAAGATTTTAAGGGCAAGGTCATAGTCATCTTGGTGTTCCCCAAATCCCTTAGTGTAGTTCTTATACATAATAAATACTCAGACAGATGTATAGGGGTGTGGCTCAGCTAGTAAGGACAGCACAGCTGTGGGCTTATCTAGTAGTAGGGACAGAGACCACTTCGCCCACAGGAGGAACACATAATTTCCTACGGAGATGCTGACTGATATGCAATGGTATGTTCTATTTCTTATGATCAGAAACTTTTCCTCGCAAGGTGGTAGGGGCCTCTAGGCTTAGACCCTGCAAGGGAAGACAGATAGCAAACTTCAAAGACTTGATCACCATGACCTAGGTCGTGCCTATGATTTAACCATGTGATATTTTCGGGAGGTACTGAAGCAGCTCTTTAGGCCCTGAGGAATAAAACAGGAAATAATGTGGCGAAGTAACATCAAAGAGAGCTGTGAGCCTCTGACTTCTAGGATGCTCTGGTGAGGACCAGATAATACACCAAGTTTAAGCCTACCCTTTGATTTTTAAAAGAGTGGATGTCTAAAGTCTAAACACTTCATAAGTATAAATCTTGCTGGCAGAGTAATAAGGTTCAATGCAACTCTGAGAACATTTCACTTTTACTGAGAAGATGAAAAAGCAAGACTATTAGAAGCACAAAAACATGTCATTATAGCTTATAGGTATAGTAGGAACCATTTTAGAAACCATTATTGTGTAAATTATTTATCTTAAAATTTTGCCCAAAAAAGCAGGGGGTATTGCCTAGTAATTTTTTTTGCTGTTCTTAATTATGATATTTCAAAGTGTAAATGGAACAGTCATCTTTGGTGACTTCTAAGTTAAATAATATGATAAAAACCAGAAAGCAATACTAATGCTGCCCTTTCAAAGTAACCTTAATTGGCACATCAATACTATAAATATTTTTTAAAGGTGGGTTAAAAACCAGTTTCATCTCTTAAAAAAAAGAAAAAGTAAATAAAGTGATCCTTCTCTGTTTAAGGGAAGGTGTGAGGAGGGCTTGAAATAGTGGAATGACCTAATCAAAAGATTAAGAATATACATCCTTAATTTTTAATAACTTGGAGTGATGACAGATGATAATTATAATTATCATGGTGATTACCTCATAATGTGTATGAATGTCGAATCACTACGTGGTACATCTGAAACTAATATAACATTGTAAGTCAATTATACTTCAACAGAAAAAAAAGAATATTCACCCTCTAATAATTTAGTAATTCTTATTTTCCTCTTTTTGCTTAATCTGCATTTATATCCATAGATACTTTACATTTTTATTCAATGATTTTTCTTGGAAAAAGTAAACATCTGTAACACTGCATGTTGCGTGTGTGATTTGGTAACTAAGTTTCTGAAATAAATTGACTATACATATTAAGGCATCCAGTTTCAGCCATTTGAAAGGCTTGTATTTAATTTAGGTATGCCAGTATTGAGTAGCCAATCACAAGATACAGAAATCGTTGAGTTTTTCCTCTATTAGAAAATACCCACCTAAATACCCAATGATACATGCCAAAGGTTTCCTAGTGCTTTTGCTTTTCAGTGGACTTCCAGATAGTTCCGCATGTCTGTCTGCATCTGAGGAGAGAGAGAAACATGGAGACAACCAATGAGGCCGATTTCTCTGCCTACACTATACACAGCACAGAAATAAAATGTGCAAGTGGAAAACAGTGCAAAAGATCCACCAGATTCCTCCATAATTCCCTTTGGGGCTTGAGAAAGCCATTTCCAGTTCTGGTTCCAAATTACTGAACGGGATTTTACCTGGAGAATCCTCCCTTTAAAGTCCCATCTTACACACTCATTCTTTCTTTCTGTGTGTGTAGAACAGTGGAAATATGCTTCCTTTCTAGCCATGCTGTTTCTGAATGACAGTAGAAAAACTTTCACAAAGTATGAGGTGGAACCAGTCCTAATGTAAGGTTAGTCTGGCATGAAGACAAAGGCAGCACAGTTGTCCATCCCTGACCTAGACGGAGGTCCTCTCCACTGAGGAGTCTGCATGTATCTTGATTAAACTCAGTTCCATTAGGTGAGAGCTTCTCACAGGTAAAAATGGACCATTTGGTTTCATCAGTAGTTTTCCATCCTTCATATCCTATTACAATGTCATTAGTGCTGAGATTTAAAAGGTTACATGTATGCAGACTCTATTTCATCCAATGGTCAGAATGATATTGTGATGGGTATTAGTTAATAAAATTTCACATCACATTCCACATACCCTACCATAATACATTTCAGACAGAGAAAAATAAAGCACACAACACAAACACTCTGTTTTAATTAGCTGTCATTAGGATGGAAGAGTAGATGTGGAACGTGGTGGCCTAGCATATCAAACAGGTAAGTTATACAGTTTGAAACTACAAAAAAGAGTGCACTGATGTATTTTTAAAATTTGCAGATACTGTCATAAAGCTTAACAGAGTAGCTTTAGAAGACGTGATTCTGCTTTGTTTATGCCTTTTCCCCACCTTCAAATTTTTGACAAAAATGTCCTACAGGTTTTCTGTGGCTGAGTCCACATTTTTAGGCCTACATATAGGAAATTTCCTTTGACATTCATAGGAATTCTCTGTACTATTAGCATTAAAATGTACAATTCAATTTGGAATCTCAGATAATTAAAAATTAACTTTTTCATAAGCTCTAGTTCTCTTTCATCAAGCAAACTCTTTTCTAGTAACTGTTAAACAGAAAAAGGTGGGAAAGTAGCATTTTAAAATATTGAAATAGACAACATGCTGCAGGGAGCTTTAAATAATATGAATCTGAATATGTATTCCAAGCACTAGCTAATTATTATGCAACCACTGACAACTATAAATGGTCCAATTTCTTTTCCTCCTATTCAGCTGATTTCCCTTGAGGGGAAAAAAAAGATTACTATGGTATGAAGCTTTTCACCTATTGTTGAGTAAGAGGGACAATACAGGAGGGTATGTAATAAGCCAATTTTGGAGGAGTAATATAAACAAACAGCAGCCCAAACCCTGAATGCTGAATCCCTGTCAATTTACTGAGTTAATACTAAATAATTCCTTCCTAACATTACTAATTCACCTAAAATTCAAGTTCTACTTAGGAAGAGGATAAGAGAAAACATGTTAATAAAATAGAGCTTGAATGCATCATCTTGGCATTTCTTCAATGCTTTGGGAAAAAACCTCTACTGTGTTACTAGCAGTAAGATTAACTTGCTTCCTTAATCCAGTTTATAAGGCCCAAAGGAAAACTGCCACTGTTGTTTCAAGTGATGGACTCCCACGTGACTGTCACCTTGACAATAATCAACAAACCCATCAAAGGCGTCACCAACACAATACCCAAAGACATTTCTCTTTAAATTAATCTGCTTTTAATTTCTCACTAAATTAACAGATTAATTATGCAATGTTCCAAGGGACAATTTATACAGGATCTAAGTGGGAGATTAAAGCTCCTTAGAAGGATCCATGTTTTATCAATTCTCATTATATTTTAAAGGAAGTAGTTGGTGGCAAGAATTATCAGTCTCAACTATGAATAAATGAGGATGAAAGGTGGGTGTTAAGACTACCTGGTCAGTGTTTAACATTAAAAAATGCATCCATTCAGCAATTTTACTGGATATAAAGAGAAGAAATAGCTTCTGTCTGGAAGTAATGATCATAAATATAGGATGATCAGGTCCATACTTGAGCAGGCTAAAAACAGAATCTCGGCTGCACTCAAGACCAGGCTACTGGTACCGCTTTGCCGTCAGTCCTTGCTTTCAGATTATTCATGTGACTTACTTAAACAGAGATCATTAGTATGCATTAAAAACACAGAAAAAGAAAGCAACCTGAGAAATGCCCCAGAAGCCAGAAGGAATCAGACTCCACCCAGAGAGGGAGAGCATCTTCATGTCACTCAAACCTCCTGACTGAGCATGAGGCACATTTCCCTGGCTTCCTAAAGGGTGATTTACACCTCCTTGAGGTAAATCTGGAAAAAGTTACATTTTTGCAACTCATGACCCTCTTTCTAAAATGTTTTAGAAGTATTAGAAAACCTACAAAAAAAATCCCAAAATGAATTAAAATTCACAAAAATACCTCACATGGGCCTTCAAAATTGCTATCAAAGTAAAACTATCCACAGAATTTTCTCATAGGAATTAGGTATTTCTAAACAAGATACAAAACCCAAGTGCAATTAAAACAGAGAGAGAGAGAGATAAATTCAACTACTTAAAAAAAATCTGCTTGGGAAATACGTCATAAACAAAATCAAAGACAATATGGGGGAGCATCTGCATCACAGATCAAGAGTTAACTTTCTTAAAATATAAAAAGTTCCCACAAGTCAGTAAGACTTCTAATAGAAAACAGGCCTGGGGCAGAAACAGTTGACAAAAAAGGAAATACAAATGGTTTTCAAATATATACAAACATGTCTACCCCATTCAAAATGCAAGCTAATATAACTTACATGTCATCTGTCAACTAGTTAAGGGTTTCAGAGGTGGATAACACTGCTGACAAAGTTCTAGAGAAACAGGCACTTGTGGTAGGAGTGGTAAACTGGTCTTCTGAGGGCAACTGGGTAGTGACTATCAAAATTCAAAATGCATGTTGCTTGACCCAGATGTCTTACTTTTAGGGATCTATCCTGTAAACTACATGCACATTTCACACATCAGTCTAAAATGATATCTGTAGAAGAATATTTGTTGTAACATTACTTATAATAGAAAATGACTGCAAACAACCTAAAAACTTTTTTAAATAGGGGAACTGGCTCAAGTATAAAATAGATTATTATGCAGCTGATATAAAGGGAGGAAGCTCTTACTGTACTGGTATGGAATGGCTTCCAGCATATGTTAAGGAAGGCAGGCAGGGTGCAGAACAATGTAGACATTAACAATGGTACAAGAACAAAAATGCACCTACTCTGTTAGACACAAAGTCTCTAGATACTTAGACACTGATGACAATGGCTACCTCTGAAAAAGACAGGAATGAGAATGGCACTGACATTTGTAACTGCTTTTGTACCTTTAGGAAAATCTAAAGTATCCATTCAAAAACAAATTTTATCAAAATAATAAACTACCAAAATAAATAAGCCAAAAGTGTTTTCTCCTAATTGTAGAAATTAAATTTCCACAAAACTTTATAGGATTATTAGTAGTAACTTTTGCTGAGAAATCTCTGGAAAAACTCAAAATATTTAACAAATTTCTTCTGAATATGAGCCCTTGGGACACTTCTGAAGGTAAATTAGCATCTTCAAACTGAAAAAAGGGCTCCAGGTGTCTCTTGAAGTTCATACTGGGGAATGGTGCTGTCATTCAAGTCTGGTGTGTTATCAACTCAGAAACCACTTAATTACCCATGCAAGCTACAGAGCTGGCAGGTAACTCATTTGGATCCACTTCTCTGGGCACTTATGCTTCATCTATGGAATGCTGCTAACATACCTACTTCTACTTAACCTAAGTCTCTAGATCCTGAGTGTCGAATAGAAACCCTGTGCTCACCAGGCGCTGGGTGATTTTACAGACCTTTGACAAGTCACTCAGTAACAACGGAGAAATAACATTATCATAACATCATGGCTCTTTTACTGAGGGGAGGGGTGTCAAGGGGGAAAAGAGGCAGGCTGTCTGAATCGATACAACTATGCTGTTGGTCTGCAAATCTTGTCAAGGACATGGGACCTTTCTTTATGCAGTGCTTTGGCTTTTGGTCTAGCAATCCATTTTTAATAGGCATTATCTATGTGGTAGAACTGGCTCAGGCACTATACTGACGTTAGCAATTTCTAGCATGGATTTATACATTCATGTATAAAGGTATTATTATTAAATAGGTATTTGGGGATTCGGTTTTGAAAATCATATATATGTGTGTGTATATATATATATATATATACACACACACACATTTTGGTCATACTATATACTTATTTCAGTTTTTAAATTATTTTTTAATAGGAAATTTATTCCCATGACTCAAAATTGAAAAAGTTTAAAAGAATCAACAGTGGAAAGTCTCCTTCCCACCTCTTGGCCTCAGACTCCCAGTTTCCCTTCCCACAGATATTACTTCTTACATTTTCTTCGCGATACTTTATGGATATGCAAACAAGATTCTCCTGTCACTATACTATATTCCTTAATACTAGCTTCTTAATGAAAATAAAGGCCAGAGAGTGCTGCTGTAACAAGCAAAAAAAAAAAATTCTTCTAAACAAGGATTAACTTGTAAGTCAAGAACTCAAGGCTGTGGTTATGCTCACCCTCTTGTAATTGAGAATGTATCTCCTCAGCTCCCCACTTCTTCACTCTTAGGCAGTCTGTCACCCCACAAACTCTGGCTATGATACTGGTTGTGATGGTGCTGCCAAGGCCAGAAGCCATGGAAGGGGTCAACTTCTACAGGACTTATAAGAAGAGTCTCAAGTTCACAGGGAAAACTATTTCCCTTTCCCAGTATTATGAAGAATTATTTTAAAAGCATTAATTGGAGATCCTGACCCATCAATATCTTTAGAATTACAAACTTTCACCTGACCTGAAAGTGCATTCATACTGCATCATACTGATTCTTAAATTTTTAGGGAGGGACAGGGTCACCACTACCTTTGAGAAACTAAGGAAAGTTTACTCAAAAATACAGCTTCACCCTCCCACTGGACCATAAACATGGTTGTGTACAGATACGTTATTATTAACACCTAACAAGCCAAGATCAAGGAATCTGCTAAAGAAGTTGTAAGGTACATAAAAGATGGGAGAAGATAATGCAAAAAGCAATTAGATGTTAGGAAGAATTCATTAGTTGCTTGCCAGTGGAGAAGGTACTGAGTAGGTGGCTGCTGAAATTTTTTAATTTTAAATTTCAAGGTAAAATTAAATTTCAAGGTAAAATTATTCTGAGAACCTGATTCTATATGTAACTTGACCAGTGAAGATAAATACAAAATAAAATATGCTCCTTGAATCGCATCACAACAAATGACTCTGTTCTTTTATCATTATAGCTATACGTTTGCAGAAATACCGGTAATTTAATCTTGACCCTTTTTCAGTACCGTGACCTTTCAATTGAGAAAAGTTTAAATGAGGTGACAGAAGAATATACTTCATTGAAGAACAACCGAAATAAGGATAATTTAGAAATTAACTGAGAAATTAACAGAGACTTAATGGGAAACAGGAGCTTCCTCAGAAGCCAATTTAGTTGGTGATGGTTTCTTTTCACAAAAGATGATCCTGAATCCTGACCAATTTTAATGGAAGAATTTCATTCATCTTCTTTCTCATACGTTTTATTATTCTTTATACTTACAAAACTATATAAGAAAGTATGTGTTTTAAATCAACTGAGCAGTTTAGATGGATATAAATATTTTCCAGTTTCTTAAAGTGGAAAGAAAGTGATAATAACATAAACCCATGAATTCAGAAATGCTAGCCAAAAAAAACCTCAATATACATCTAAGTTCTCAAATACACATGAGTCTAATGTAGCTAAATTTCCCCTACAAGGAATGAAGAGATTACTTCCAATTTCCACTCCCTTTACAAAGCAATTTTCTTCTTCTTGTAAAGCTTTTATCTGTAAGTTTTAAAGCCTTCCAACTGTTCTGCTGAAAATTATCTTTAGGAACAAAAAACGCTTTTGAATCATCATCACTCCTTCTACAGATACCCTCTTTAAATCAAAATGGAACATCTCATAATAAGAAATTTCTTATCTGACAGATAAAATATCTACTGAATGTCTTTAAGACTTCCTGTTAGGCCAGACAGCAAGTTTTCTCATCCTTTAGGGAAAAAAGCTGCATGGCTCTAACATGCCAACCAGGAATGTAACTAAAAGTAGCAAGACTAGAATCAGAGCTCACACACAGATTAGGGACACATTTAGGGGTACATGGTAATAACAACAACCTACAATTCACTGGTACATATGACCTTTGTCCTAACAACAAAAAAAAAAAACCCAAAAAACATAAGCAAGACTGAATGTGCTGAAAACGAGAGTAATAAAGTCATGTAAACATTATGTGGTAATATACTTGGTATATGATTTATGAAATGGAAACCAAATTGGACAAATAGAAGGAATGCTCAACCACAAATCTGGACACCAGCCTGTAAAAAGTAAATGTATATTTTCAGAAAATTTACCCAAAAGACTTTAAAATTCACTTATAATTTGCTAAATCTTCTAATTTCTTATGAAACACTGTGAATTTTGATAATGTCGTATAATTATAAAAGGTTTGAGGGAAACTGACAGGTTTACAAAGACATACAATTTCTCATTAGTGTAAACTGGCAAATTTTATTCTACCTTATAGGTAAAATTGCCTCCTCAATAAGGGTTTTTAGGCAGTTTCATCACAAAATCCCACTGGATAGGATCACTTCCCACCAATCTTTTGCTGAGCACTACTTTCTCATAAAGATTGCATAAGTTTCAACGTTTTCTTTTCAGGTTGGCATGATACAAATGGCAGCAGACAAAACAATGTTTAAAAAAAATAAATCAAATAAAAGGCTGTACACAAGAACTTATGTTTATTGCAAACAAAAACAAAAACAAAAACAAAAAAACAGAGAGAGAGAAAGGGAAAGAGGGAAATGGTCAGAAGCACAACATATAAGGTTAAGAATTTAAAAGCATCTTACATTCTGCCCTAATGGCAGCATAATTAATAGGAACAAACGGCCGTCTTGCTGCCTGCCGCAGCCGGAGGGTATTTTTGCAGACCTGACGAGCAAATTTTGTGAAATATGTAGTGTGAAGGAAGAAAGCTTGGCGGGTCTTCACTGCAGACTTGGGGCTCCCAGTGTTTCGGACCGGCATCCCCTGCATGGCCTGGCGAGACATGTGACTTCTAACGCGAGGGTCCTGCAAAATCAGACACCAACAAACATGTAAAGAACAGAAATTGTCAAATACAGTACTACTTGCATCCTCCTTAAAGTGCAATGTTTAAGTCTTTCACTGAAGAATATATAACTCAACATAAAGAGGATAGGATTTAAAAGTGTGTACTTTTGGGAAGGAGGTAGAAAGTAAAGAAGGAAACTGGGTAGAAGTAGCAGTGTTATGCGATTCTGTATTTTTTCCTTCTAAAGTGACCTTAACAATCCAAAATCACATTCACAATAGTCAAAAAAAATTGCCAGAGGGTTAATCAGACTACTTAAAAAAATACTAAAGGGGGTCCTTAAATCTTGTTAGCATTCAAAACGAACAGTCTCCATTTGGTGGACATAGATGCCTGATACCTGCCATCTATGAGAATTTTACCAAAATCTTGCTTTACTGTTGTTCACATCAATATTGAGCCCATGTCTTCTTGTCCCTCCTATGACAGCCCAGGGACAGAAAAAAATGCTCAGTTTGTATTTATTTTTTTATGCAATAAAATATACTTTCAACAGTACCTAAAGGTTGTAAACTGTTTTCAAAAAAGCAATTAAAACAAACATTTAATTTGTAAGCTCTCCACTTATGCTGTAACACCTCCCACATACATTATTCTTCTTTTGTCTGAGTAATCTCTCAAGACCAGTATTTAAAATACCTGAAAAAATTGGACTTGTCCCTGTCCCTCTCTCCAGACCCACCCTAAACATTTTGGTGCTGTTTAGCTATAATCTCTTTGATTGTTTTTAAGTTATCCTATATTGTACTTCTGGGTTTTCAAAGAGCGATCTAACCACTGAAACATACGACATTGCTCAACGTTAAAAAGGCTCACGTACCTCTGCAGCTGGGCTGGGAGATAACTTCTCCTCTTCTGACTGGGTGGGCATTTTCAAGCCTCCATATTTTTTCCAATAGAGCCAACAGGTTGCACATAATCTACACTGCATATTAGGTGGGCCCCAAGAATACCACTGATGCGACTGTGTAGCTAAAGATGGAAGAAAAACAAGAAGAAACAAAGAATGCCATATTATTTGTAACATCAACACACATATAATCAAATATCTCACAAATATTCCAAGGCCATCCTTAGTTTACGATGTTATTTTTCTTCTCCCAGTTTACCAGGCAAAGATGAGTCTCATAGGCGCATGTATTTTTCAAGGCAGAATTCATTAAGCCATTTATTTCTGTGTGTATCAAGTGCCTGTGGCCCCTATTAACAGTAATTAGAGGAAGTACCCTTATATGTTGTGCTACGGAAGGAGTTTTTGTTTGTTAATTTAAAATATCCTCTATTGCGTACATGTCTGAAAATAAGTTATCAGAAAAGTATTATTATGAGCCAATGGTTCAGAAACCACCTCAAGGTTTAAGGTGCTTAGAGGAGTCCCACTGATAAAGGCAGAAGTCTGACAGGAAGCGGTATGTTTTCCATTCCTTTATTTTAATCAATAGATAAAATAATTATTTTACTATTTCTCCCTTTAAAAACAGAATCCCTTTCCAGACTAGTCCCTATCAAATGAGCATGTGCAGCTGAGACCACAGCATGCTTACAAGGGTTGATAACTTGGTTGATTTATTCCTTAGTGAAACACTATAAACCTGTTTTATTTTGCTCTGCAGTTTAAATTACTGCTATATAACATTTAAAGTATTCCCTCAATGGATCTTAAGTTTAAGATAGAAAACACTGACACTAAACATTAAGTTAATGAAGTACATAAAAAATTATTATGATTCTCTAAGTCTGCCTTGGAATATTCTTCCCCTGATCTCTAAGTTACCTTCATCAGATCAAAATGTTCAAATAGCACATCAAGGTACCAACTAACACATTAACAAACCAATGTCAGAAAGAAAAAATATAGTGACCATTACAATCAAACTGCACTTGATTTATTGAAAATAATACTGGGCACCCATCATGTGTTATTCTTGGAGGACTCCTTGCAAATAGCAGCCTAAAACCTTTCCTCTTATAATTTAAAAAAAAGCTGATTTTTTTTTAAACACAAATTTTAAGAATCTTAACCTACTATATAGGACAGGGAATTACACTCAATTTCTTGTAATAAGATATAATGGAAAAGAATATGAAAATATATGTGTGTGTGTATGTTTATGCATAAACAAATTGCTTTGCTGTACACCTGAAACTAATGTTGTAAATCAACTACATTTCAATTAAAAAATTATAATTTAAAAATTAAAAAAGAAACCTAAATATTAGGCATGAACCTGGATTCTGAATATAAAATGCCACTTGTATTTAAATATACATTTTTACCCAAATAAATCATTACATGTCATTTTAATACGTCAATAAATGCCTTTCCCTTTACATAATTAACTCAAATTCAGTTAAAGAGTGACAAACAGAAAACACCAAATTCTATCTTTCTTTATATATAAAGATAGATCTTATATGTATGTTATATTAAGGTACATTTTTATGACAGACAAATAGATACACATAAAATAAATCTTATAAAATTAAAACTGCTTATTTGTCATGTACACATTAAAATAATGGAGTAACTATTTAAAGAGATATGTGAGACTATACTTAATGTGAAAGGAGTTTGTAAGTCAAAATTAAGCCACCATTTATAAGATTCTATTCATTTTCATTGAAATATAAGTGAACTTCAAAATCTAAGAATTCCCAATTCAAAAACAGTTATGATGTAATCGATGTAAAATTCTGACTAAAATAACCTGATTTTCCACAAAGTGTTTCCCTTTGTTCTCCCATGGTGCAGAAAATGGTTAGACATGTGCTATTTCTATGAAGACAATAATCTGTCTGGCTCACACCTTCCTTGGTTGCAGGAAAGATAATTATATGATTTGGTTTAAAAGCCTTTTCTAGTGGAGTATGGAGTCGAGTCACAAATGTTCTTTATCCCTATGTCCTTATGGCAGTAGGCTACCCCTCACCCCAAAGAGCTGCTGAGAGACAAAAACTGGGCAACAAGCAGACTTTTAATAAATATTAGAGTCCTTTCTTCTTCCACACGAGGCCACTTTGATTGGAAAGAAAGAGACGATCGTGTCACCAATGTCCAATTTAAGAGATTACATTGTTTTCTGAGGTTTTAAATAAATATTAAGAATGTACTGACTACCTAACAGTTCATCTCACCAACCCAATTTAACATCAAGGGCAGATATAATACTGCCAGTGTCTGTTGGGTTTTTACATGAATAAATAATGAAAAGCACACCAGGGCCCTGAGGCCAAAAGCAAGCATCACAGAACAGCATCTTCCAAACCGGTGCTCTGAGGAAACCTGGTCTGAGGACTATAAATAGCAGTGTATCCACACACCGGTCTTTCCCACAGAATTCTTTGGAGCCTTTAATTTGTTAAATATACTGAGAAACTCCAAAAGGAGGTTTGGTGTATTTTGTGGGACCACGGTTTGCACAAAGCTAATAACAACTCTCAACGCAGCTTAGCAAACACTGCTGTGGAATATTCAACAAACACAGGACATCACAGAAGCAAATCAAAGGAAACCCAATACCTAGATTCAGCATCCCAGCAGAAGGTGAGGAGGTGCATCTGCTCACTGAGGCTACGAATTCTCTGTGCAGGCCTCTGTGCCGCACTGAACCCTCACACCTCGCACCCCACAGGGGCAGCAGAGTCCCCTGCCCTTCACCCACTCCAGTCTCAAAGGAGGGAGAAAACTGCTCTGCTGGAGAAAACTTACCATAGCAGCTCTCACAGGCTCGCCCAAGGAGAGGATTCTGTGGCTGGAACGTGGTTCCCACGGCTCCATTCACAGCACCTGGTTTGCCATTGCTGGTGGATATCTGATTGGGATTTGGTTTGCTGCTTTCAATGAAATATAAAGTGAAGTGATAAAAATGACTTGTATAACAAAGCAAAAGGCTCTATATTTCATTACTGATCTATCTTAATTACACATAAATAAACATCTGAATGTTCGGTGAAAATGAAATACACTGGTAAGAGTAAAAATGAACCAAAAAATTAATCATTACAAACCAAGGCTATGTAAAAGCCAGACTCTTAAGCCCAACACTCACGAAATTAAATACAGCCATATCTCCTCTCCATCCAAAACAATTTCCTGAGGACACCCTCTGATGCTTTTTTGAAAGATATAAGTTATTAAGTTTTATCACTTATCATAAATTCTGCTGAGAAAATAAAATAACTTTTGGATCAAATAAATGAAGCCAAAGGCAGTGTGCTGTGTTTAGAGAAAACCACTGTCCCATTCCTGCTGCTGGTATGACAGCTGCTGACCCTACCCACTGGCTCTCAAGGGAACTGCACGAAAGCCACAAGCTCAACAGACACTGTGGATCAACAGGGTGTATCTCTAGAGGTGAGTCAGCATTTTGGGATACTGTGACCACTCGTGATTTCTATTATGTTTGAGTTTTTAATGAGGAATATTACATAACTTGAAATTAGAAAAACCAACACGTGTATTTTGAGCTATTTCCTTTTTTAGAGGAAAAAGGTAACATCTATCAGATTCCCCAGAGGCTACAATTCCTCAGAAACATGGAGCCTAGACTACCTTGGTATTTACTGTGCAAACATGGCTACCTTTTCCCCATCTAGGTCAGCTAACTCCGTTGCTTAAAAGTCATACCCAAGAATACTGCACAAGTATACATAACATTTCCTCAGTACACTCATAATTCATTCAACATATATTTATTCAGTGCCTAGTAAACCAAAGTGCCAACATCAAGGAACTTCCATTCTAGAGGAGCTTTCATGTCTATTTGCTGGGCAGAAAATAAGCAAGGTCAATTAGCAAATTATTTGTTAGAAACAAATACTGCTGAACGACTAAATGCAGACCACACCCTTTCTTCCTGTGGCTACTGAACTAATGGAGCTCACAACCTTCAAGACACTTGGAATTTCCCCACAGAGTAGGCTCATGAGTTTTCTTTTTCCTGTTTCTCATTCCCACGTTTACATTTACCGGTGAAAGCCTAATATGTAAATTTGGCCTGATGACAAATTAAGAATTCTTTCTGGTGCTGTTACTGTAACTGTTAGGTGACACCCCATCACCACCTCAGAAAGCATCACTTAGCCTCTGTGTGCACCGAGGGCCCCATTCTATAGACAGGGCTATTATTTACACTTCTAATCTGTGCCAGCAATGTATTTTGAAGACAAATTGATTTCAAAAACACATTTTAACCTAGACAGAATGAATTTCTCATTTTTCCAACAGTTTTCAGTT